ATAGCAGCCCAAATAAATTTAGATACTTCTCCAAAATTAAATAAAATCTGCAAAGGATCTAGCACAGTAAATTACTACCATTCCAGTTTCCAAATTCTGTTTCAATGATGTTACTATTAAGCAGCTACATGAAGATACTTAATTTGTTGTTTTAATTAGATACTCATATTCAGACTACACTACTAATATCTCTAATCTCTTATAAGCAGAAAGAAGTAGACATCCAACGTATCTGATTTGCTATCTGTTGTAGAAGGAATTGGGAGTTATAATGAATGGTGAAGGGAGTTCTTTAGATTCCTACTGTGCATAATGCATTTGCCCCTTATTTTTACAGATGATTGAGAGCTAACTAGATAGCAATATAGTGAAAATGTTTTTTAGGCTGAGAAATAATCTTAGCTGACTTCAAATACTAAAGTAGGAAACAAAAACTCATGACCCAGGAAATAAAAACCAACTCAAAGAAAAACTTTAAATACAAATGTTTAATCATTAACATAATGAAATATTTCACAAAACTTTATTATCTGCAAAAGACAGACAATAAAAGAAAATTTTCAGCTCTAGAAAATATTAAACCCAGACATTTTAAAAACAGTAATTTTTTTCCTTTCAGAAGTCTAGTCCTTTTTTTTCCAAATTACTCCTATTCAAAAGGTATATAATGCCATAAATCAAAGGGACACTTTGAAATGACAAAAGAAAGGTTAACAATCTATAGCCACAGACCAAATCTGCCTAGTCAACTGTTTTTTATTTGATTATATATTTTCTATTGATGCGTTTGCACTACAGCAGTAGAGAGGAATAACTATAAAAGAGAGTTTATGACCCCCAAAGCTGAAAATATTTACTTACTGTCCTGTTACAGAAAAGATGTGTTGACACCTGTCTTAAAGAAGCCTCACTGCCATGACAATTATTACAATGATTTTTTTCAAAACTAAATATTTCAAAGAAATAATACATATATTTTCTTTCCAACTCCAATAAAAAGATTCCCTACCACTCCTTTATATAAGATTCCTAAACTACAGAACAGCACCTCATATATTCACTTTCAATTTTAAAGAAATGTTTAGTATACATTTTATATGTCATAAAGAACAGCATCTAAATTTGTTTGTTTTCTTAAAATGTACCTCCTTAGACCCCTTATCAACAGTTAGGTTGAGGGGTGGTTAGGAAGAGACCAAAAAAATTTTTAAAAGAAGGAAAAAAGGTCTCTACAGAGGGCTAGATAAAAAATAGCATTACCTATTAAAATTTTCAGTGTGTGTAAAGTGCAGACTAATATTCATTTTAAAGGAATGATACAGTAAGAGACCTATGCATTCTACAACAATAAAAATAATTCCCAATTCCTAACAAAACACTATAAAAGGTCACCTTTAATGTATGCCATAACTTAGCCACAATGTATAGACAAAGCACAAAACAAATTGCATAAAACTGTTATTAAAAATCTGTTATGTATTTCCCGTTTTCTTTTTGCTGTTTTCCTTAGCATTTCTGCTTACTTTTAAAAGGTTACTAATGTATAAGATATATTATATAGAATACACATTGAGAAAAACTATGTGCTAGGAAATAGGCACTGAATTTAACAACTTCAAACAGACATACAAATAGTAATTACAGATATCTAATACTGGTATTAGAGTTTATTAAAACATAGGAATTACTCCTTAAATATTGAGATACATGAGAAGTTTTGCTCTGAAAAAGAGATTTTCTATTCTAAATCGTGATAGTATATGAGGCAGCAGTAGTAGAGGTCAAAGAGCAGTGAACGAAAATACACATGTTCTAATCTCATCTAAACCACAAAGGAGTCTAGGGTCTTCTGTTCCTTCTGAAAAATAAAAGGTTATACTAGATGACTTGTAAAAATATTCCCAGCTGTAAAACGTCATGACTTTCATGAAATTTTAAAAGTCACCATAAAAATCACTGTGTTCTAAAAGTGCCATGTAGAGAAGTGACATGTAAAATAATCTCCTGGATGGGTGCAGTGTCACAAATTCACAGAGCATGCCTGAAATCTGGATGTGTGCAGTAAAAGCTACCCTATTACCTGATCATCACCTTAAAAACTCAGGAGCTCTTCTCATAGTGCTGCTAGCCTGGACTCTTCATTTTCAATGAAAGCTGGTTCAGAGCTGGTTACTCGAGAAGAAACCAATTCTGAACTACTAAGTACAGAAACAACTATACAGTATCACAGATTATTTGCACATCTCAGAATCAGTGAGCTCTCAACTGAGTACTTGTTTTCATTTTCTAATCTATTTAAATAATCTTTTTTACATTCTAGTCATAAAACAAAATCTCAAAATATTTCTATATAAAACATTAGTGTTAGAAAACAGAAGAGATCAACCTTTTTCCCCCTAAATAACAAAACTGTCTTTCTTCTATTTCTGAGGTTAAAATTTCTTTCATATTTTAAATTTGTAAAATGAGATGTCTCTTAGAGCTTTTAGTTTCTCAGCACCATATATTTTCTTTTGTTCATTCTTTCCTTTTTCTTTTTTAAGACATGGGGTCTCACTATGATGCCCAGCCTGGCTCCCAAGTTCCTGGGCCTAAGTCATCCTCTTGCCTCAGCCTCCCAAGTAGCTGAGACTACAGGCAGGACCACCATACTCACCTTTATTTTATATTTTAAGGCAGCATTTTCTTCAATAAGAGTACATAAAATGTTTTACAACTGATGGTATCTGAGACTGATGAAATGCTATAATACCTGTCATGTGAAGTTTTTCTAATTCTGAATTAACTCTTTCTGAATTTAATTAACTTCTTCCACTAGGATATCAGATTTATTAGTATAGGATTCATTACTATCTTGATTACTGTATTTCTAGCAATATGGAAATTATTTTAAGAATTTCTAGCAGAAATTACTATAAAAAGAACGATGAAGTTTTCTAAGCAGTTATGAAGTGCTAAGTACTATGTGAAATACATTACATTTGTTTAGTTCCCACAACCTAGAATTTGTTACAACTATCCCCATTTTCCAGATAAAGAAAAAAAAGCTTAGAGAGGTAAAGGAACTTGTCCTCCATCCTGTACACAATTTTATGTCCAACACAAGGCCTGTTTCAGAAGGAACACACAATAAATATTTAGTGAATGAATCATTTCAAAGGAGTCTAATTGACCAATTAGAAAGAGGCTCATTACTAATGTAAGTCATGAAGAAAATGTACAATAAATACAAGCTTGAAAGTGTACATGTCTTAGTTTTCAAGTAATTAGAGAAAAGAATTACTTCTAGGTGATACAAGTCCAATACACAATAAGGAACACACAACTGAAAATAGAATGCTACTCTATGAGAATAATAGTCATAAAAAACAAGCTATGTAAAACTCAATGCAAATAAATTACAACTCAAACTCTCCAGAACCTTAGGATTATATTTATTCATCAGCTTCATCTTTGTTTTCTGAAGATCAACAACTAACTTGATAAATTATGACCAGAATTTTTTTTTTTTTACAAAGGAAACTGGGCAGAATATATGTGTACTTCATTTGGATAAGGCACTGAGTGAAGGAGGTATGCAGTACACACAAATGCTCCCTGAAAAGTTCAGTATGAAAAACTATCAGAAGAAATGATATGTAGAAGCTATAAACCATTAGCATCTCTAATATGTTTGCAAATTCTTATTGAAACAAATTGCCTACAAAAACAGGATATTTCTAAAAAAGTGTCTTCTCTGATTTCCAATACTATTTCGAAAGCATTTTGTGAGAACTTTGCTACATATTCTATACCCCATTTGGTTCATATTTAGCAATGTGTCCCACCCTGCTCCTTTTTAGTTAGGTAAACTTTGTACCATCTCAAACTCAGGAGGAATATGAGCACTCAAGTACACCAACTCACAAAATAACAACAAAGATGAGTATTCATGGAATATCAAATGGGTGGCAGATGGGGAGCAGGGAAGTCTATCTCCTAATGATAGTTTCTTAGTGACAAGTTATACTGTCATCTAATGAGGCAGTTCTAACTTGGAAACAAGATAACAGCAATGTTTCTTATTACATTTAATACAGGTCTTATAAACTGTTCTGCCTATCAGCAAAAATCTTATATTTAATAATGATAATATATAATTATACTCAATACATACATCAAGATATACAAACTCCATGAATTAACATTATCTAACACAAAGTATTCACAGTACTTATTGAAGGACTTCTAAACATTAATGGAGATAAAAAATCATACACTTGTACTCACTTCTGTTACATACACACATCCTTCTCACACACATCTCTTTGAAATATAAATAAATCTCTTTATTGCCTCAGGTTTAGAACAAAACTACTATAGGTTGAGCATCCCTAATCCAAATATCTGAAATCTGAAACACTCCAATAGTTAAAACTTCTTAAGCGACTTGTTGAAAAGTCTAAGCAAGTATTCCAAAATCAAAAACCTCTAAAATCTAAAACACTTTGTGAGCACAAGCAGTTTGTATGAGGGATATGCAGGCTGTGGTAATTTATATTACATACTAACTAATTATGCTATAAGAAACAAAGTTTATTCCAGAGGATTTAAAAAACTGTAATAGTATCTTTTATTATAATTGAGTGCTACTATATCAAATAATTATCCTTAATCTGGCTTTGTTTACATTTTGAATTATACATTTAAAACAATGTTAATTTTAATAGGCAGTACCAAGGGGTCTCTGTAAATAATAAACTATAAAAATTAATTCACATGTCCTTAACGGATATCAGCATTTTTTCTAATTATATGGGAAAATATTATAAAGTGATTAGATGAAGTAATTTAATAGGTATAAGGGGAAAAAATTACACAGACTAAAAAATGTTTTTAGGAAAACATTTAGGAAAAAGGTCTCTTAGGGAAAATGTACTAACAAAAAACTTTGTCTAAGAAATTATATTTACTCTATATTGTAATTACGAATATTTAATATGCTATCAAGTATTTCTTACCTGCCCCTTTCAACTGCCAAGGCATCAAGCTCGTCAAAGAAAATTATGGAAGGAGCCACTGCTCTTGCCTTTCGGAAGATCTGGTGAAAAGAGTACCACATTAGCCAACATCAGCAAACTTCAGAAAATTCTATAGTTGGTTTCAGTTAGAAAACTGTACCAATTCCCTTATTTACAAATCAACCAACCCAATCAATTTGTGGTTACCTTATAAAGGATGACCACCACTGGATAGTAAATGTAAAAGGAAGTTCTTCAATGATTACAGAGCCATACCTACCAATACATATCCACACAGGTATATAGGAGACAATGAAGTTAAGCAATTAGACAATCTCAATTAAAATTTCAGCTCCACCATAGAATGATGTATGACCTACAGCAAGTAATTTTGCTTCTCTAAACAGCAATTTCCACATCTAGGATTTGGAGACAATAATAAATGCCTACCACAGAAGAAATTTTTTAAAGAAATGAGTAAAAAAAAGAACATAAAACATTTAATACAATGCCTGGAACACAACAGAAACTCAATAAATGATAAACAATATTAACTATCATAAACATGTTTAAAAGAAAAAGATAAGTGTATAAAATCATCCACAGACTAACATAAAATACTCGTTTCTTTCAAAATTATAGGGAAAAATAATGGCTGCTGTAAAGTCAGGATAAGAAAAATGACCAAAACATGAAGGAACACAGACTGGCTTGAGCAGAAGCTAATCAAACTACCAAAATCAGAGGCCAATAGGCCATCAGACATATGTAAGATATGTAGAAATAAGCTAGCATAGGCAGAAAGGAATCTGAACACATATGATTTATAACCTAAGCACCGGTTTTTGGTCACAGGTAGTATGATCAGAATAATACCAAAGTTACCAAGCCATTAATATGAGTAAATATTGCCTTTTTCATGCTGTTATTAATTAACATCCTATAAAATTACCATCATATACAATTTCTTTGTTGTTTGAAGTACAGGGGATTGGACCCAGAGCCTTGGGCATACTAGGCAAGAGCTCTTCCATTGGAGCTGCCCCTAGCCCTTTTGTATTTTGTTTTTGAGACAGGGTCTCACTAACTTTGCCAGGGCAGGCCTTCTGCCTGCACCTCCCAAATAGGGATTACAAAAGTGCATCACCACAATAGGCCATCATCTTCATTTTAAAGTGGGGGTGGGAGGGTGGAGGACAAAAAGAAACTTAAAATCTTTTCTCATGACAAACTATTCAATCCTTAACACTCCTGGTTGATATCGGGTATTTAACAAATGAGGACCATCTTTCCATTAATATTTTGCATTTCTATCCTTACTTAGTTTCTATAAGCCTCCTTGCATGAAGGAGGTCAATCTCTGCTTAGAAAAAGCCAAAGATGTGTGGTCAAAATGCTGACTCCAGTTACCTTGACTTCATACAACTTTACCAGCTAATACAGCTTCCTCAGTGTGAAGGAGGTTCATCAAAGGAAAGAGTATCACATTAGCCAAAGATCAGCAAACTCCAGAAAATTCTATAATATGAAAAATTCACTCAGGAATTTGTACTTAAGATCTGACTTTAAAACAAAGGAGACAGAATGAAGATTCCTTGTCTAAACCACAAGGCAGAAGTAAAATAAACAAAGACAACAGAGTGAAATTTTCATATATTAGTGAAAATTTCATTTGCAATTTGCTTACCAGTTTATTTACTTTTTATTATCGTTGTATTAGGGGTATATTGTGACATTACCAAAGTACTTACAATATATCAAAGTTGAATCTCCCCCATTATTCTCATTTATTTCCCTACCCCCATTCCTGGAACAATTTCAACAGGTCTTAGTTTTCCATTTTCATACATAAGTACATAATATTTCCACCACATTCAACCTCCTACACGCTTTCTCTACATCTTTCCTACTCCCACTGGTGCCAATCCCTAGACAGGGACCTATTTTACCTTCCTGTTTTCTGTCCTTGAAAAATAACAAGATATTTTTGTTTGTATACTAAGCTCATTAAATTTAAAGAGCTATCTAGCTTAAAGGACTTAGATCTCATTCTGAAATCACCTGTTAATCTTCATAAATGTAGACATATTCAGTATGCATAATACATAAATATAATGTATGTGTGTGTGTATATATACATATATATGCATATATATGTAGTCTTTTAAAATACCATTTTGGGGTAAAAGAAGGAAGTTAAGAAGGTGGATATGGTTGATGTACAACTTCCTATACAAGAATGAATAGAGAATTTTTAAACCTTTTGAAATCACCATAAGAAGGGAACTAAGGTAGAAAATAGAAAAATAGAGGAGATGAACCAATTCAGGATATAATACATATATACATGGAAATGTCACAAGGAAACCAATGTACAGTTATCTTAAACAAACCAAAATGTCATTTAAGGAAAGCAGGAGATCAGAACAGGTCCTGTCTGGGAGGATGATACCAGTGGGAGGGGGCAGAATGTGGGGAGAGGTTGGAGGAGGGTAAACATGGTATAAATATTGTGCAAATATTTACACATGAATGTAAATAAAGAATACCTTTTGAGGTAAAAATAAATGCTAAGATATCATCATGCTTTACAAACAAACACAAGCTAGTACAATTTACCAAAAACTGCATTTTCAAACAATAAAATATTTGCCTGAAGAAAAAAATGTGCCATTAGAATATGGAGTTGGAAATTTCAAAGTCTGTTATCCAAAACAAAATAGAAACCACAGGACAGGAGTGTGGTTCTTCTATGCAGAGTGCCACTTAAGGCATAACCTTACCTCTCTAACTGCTCTTTCAGATTCACCAACGTATTTATTCATTAACTCAGGTCCCTGCATAAAAAGAAAACAACTGTTAGTATCTTCATAAACACAACGATGCGTATTTCTTTTGAATGAGATATGATATATATATATATATATATATATTTTTTTTTTAAGTAATATTGTTGTAAAATCTGCAATTGTTCTCTTCAAAGACTGATATATAAAATTTGGGCCAAAATGCCAGATGTCCTTCTTGGCTATGGGAATGTTCCTCTCAGTGCACTCACTTCTCCTCCCAGCTTATGGCTATACTGATGCCGTTCTCTACACAAGTCCGAATCCAATGCGCACGGATGGATAAGAGATGTGTGTGTTTCTTTTTCTCTCTCTTCTACCATTCTCCTCCTGCATGCAAACTCACACACCTTACTTGAACAAAATTCATATTCTATTCCACAAAGATTATGGGTCTAAGCAATTCACAGGAAATATCTAGATATTTGTCTAAACAATTTTCATCAATTTTTAAAATTTCAATTAAAATATATAGGCAAGCCCTAGGAGAATGTCAACTAATTCCACAAATTGGTAAGGGGAATGTTTAGCTTAAGATAAGAAACCATATTGCAAAGAAAATCAGCATATAAAATGAAGACTACTATGATAAAGGCAGGCACCATTGAAACATAGTCAAGGAAAGTTCCTAGAAAAAGTAGCATTCCAGGTGAGCCCTCCGTTAAAAGATGTGAAATACATCAAGACTCAGTAAGAAATCAAAACAGTCTCTGATGAGCCAAAATAGATATTACAATATGCATTTTCACTGCAGAAGAGTTCTAAGTGTCTTTATTCAGAGTTCACTGACTTTTAAATTACACACAACATTAACATACTTGACTAAAACTGATGTAAGAATTTAGTATAGGTAGAACACAGGATGCAGGGAGATTGTGGGCATCAGTAAGGCTATTTAAAGTGGACAGCAGGGCTATGTTATTTAAAAAAAAAGAGTTTAGGGGTTGCAGACATAGCTCAAATGCTTGCCTATCATACACAAGGGCCTGGGTGCAATCTCCAGAACCAGAGAAAGAGAGATTGTTAGTTTAGATTTTACCTGGTAAGCAATAACTTAAACATTAGGGTAGTGAAACCATATAAGTAAATTGCTGAATGATGACTCTGCCCACAATGGAAAGCATGGAACATATGAAGCCAAAGAGATCATTTATGAAATATTTAAAACAGTAAAGGTGAGAGATGATGAGGTTAGGATTAAGGTAATACAGTTCAGTGGAAAACAGACGATAGCCACAAGACTATTAAAAAGATAAAATCAACTTAATTTATAACAAAGAGCAGGATGTAAAGATGAGATTGAAAAGTAATTCAAATTTGACTTAATAATATTTTTTGATTATTGTATGATGATGACTTAATTCATCCAAAGGATTTTTAGTATATTCAGCATAGCCCAGTGCTAGTAGCTGGCGCCTGCAATCCTAGCTACTCAGGAGGCAGAGATCAGGAGGATCATGGTTCAAGGCCAGCCAGAACAAAAAAAAAATCAATACCCCTATCTCAAAAATACCCACCACACACACATACACACACACACAAAGGGCTAGTGGAGTGGTTCAAGTGGTAGAGCACCTGCCTAGCAAATGTGAGGCCCAGAGTTCAAACTACAGTAATGTCAAAAACATGTATATACATATATAAAGATATAAAACTATCTACCTATCTCTATATATATTCAGCATAGCAGATCTCAAAATATAACTCATAAGAATATTTAATTTGAAATGATGAAAATAAAAAATTAGAATCATAATTATAAATACCAGTATTTACTATGTGCCATGAACTACTCTAACCACATATTAACTCACATATATAAAATCTCAAAGCAGTTATTATGATGACTTTCCATCTGTGAGTAACTTAAAGACTGACACAAAAATCAAATTCAGGAAAGATCACAACTAAACATCTGGCATCTTAATCCCTTTGCTGAAATTAACTGAACTGACTAACATACAGAGGCAACTGAATCATTTATTTATTCATACAAGTAGGGAAAAAAATCATGTTCTTATAAAAAATTAAAATATAGTGAAAATTTATAACTATATACAGCATACCAGCAATAAAAGCAAAAATAAAACAAAGATTCCTTCCAGGTAAAGGAAACAAGGAATAACTGAACAGCAAAGAGGTAACAACTGTGTTAGATCATTTAGAATCCCTGAATCAATATGGTTACTTAATTTTCTTAGGTATTACTCAATAGTTACTTCAAAATAATGTGTGTGCTACAACGCAGACTAGTAAGGAATAAAAAACAATCGTGTTGGCCCCAGTCTTACAGACTGCTGGATATGAAACGGCAGAATAATTCCAGAGCTCCAGAGAAAACATGAGGTAATTTTAGAATCCAGCTAGACAAGGAAAGAGCCAACAAATTAGGGGAAAAAGACTAAAGAATTAGAAGCTGCCAGAATTAGAAAAGCAAAGGGGCATGTGTAACAGAATGTACAAGGGAAATTTTAGGATATGAGGAGTTTATCATGGAAAGAGGAATTTCAGGGTACAAGACTTTGTAGAAACAATTCCAGGTGAGAACAAAGTTCAAACTGCTAAGCAATGGAACGAACCAGAATGTTGACAGGGAGGGAGGTCCTAAGTTTTATTTTTTCAAAACAATTCATCTATCACAAAACATTGAGATTCTGAACACAACACCTTAATTAATTCCTATTGTCAAATGTGATGTAATGCTAGTGTTAGCAACTTCCTAGAAAGCTGTCATTTCTGCCCACACAAATCACATCATTCTTCCTTTTAGAATCTTCTGTAATTTCAACTAAACTCAGTCATCTAATAGATGTTTCTCCAAAGATTCAGGACTCATAGAAGCCAACAGACAAATCTGTTTTAACTTTTAACTGGAAAACCCAACAGCTTTTCAAATTAGAAATATTACAGTACTACTTGTTTCTGGAAATGGTATACTACAATGCTGCTAGCCAACCTTTTGACATAGCATGGTTAGAAAAGGAATAAAGGCATAGGAGATCTATGCTCAAGGTAACTAGGACTTGTGTGGTCAAAATGGCATAGTGAAGGGAAGTTCAGTAAGAGTATCCCAACAATATGGCACCATTTTTCTCCCCAGGCACTTGAATTTGAAAGAAAAATGAAAGGCAGAACAGATATCTGGCAATCTTAGTGTTAGAAGCACAAAAGTTAAGACTTCAGAGGATCTCAACAGGGAGAAATCTTAGTAATGTACAGACTTTGAACTGGAACTCCAAATACTATGCTTAGTGCCCAAACCTGTTTGATTAAGGTGATCTACCCTTAGCATAACTTCCTGTATAAACAAAACAAATTATATCAAGGAAGAATACAACATCATAGTTAATTATTTCAAGAAGAAAAGGAAATTATCTTGGGAAGAACTTAACAGCATAAGAGACACAAATAATAACTTTTCATATGCAATAATATTTCAGGTGAATATAATACAAACAATAAGTTATGTAATCCAAAAGCCATTTGGTGAGGAGGAAAAATGGAAACAATTATAAAGAGGTGGGGACAAAAGGGCATTGAAGTGGCCAAACAAAGGGTATTACAATCTGCTATGGTTTGAATGTTTGTGTCCTCTTAAAACTCATATTAAAATTTAATCCCCAATGGGAAAGTACTTAGAGATAGACTCTTGGGAGATGAGTAGGTCACAATGGCAGAGCCTTCATGAATGATAGGAACTCTTATTAAACAGGCCCCACAGAGATTCCATACCCCTTTCCACCACATGAACATGTAAAAGAATACTGTCTATGAACCAGAAAGAGAGTCTGTACCAGGCAATAAATCTGCCAGCATCTTGATCTTGGACTTCCCAGTCTCCGGAACTATGAGAAATAAATTTCTGTTGTTCATAAGTCACCCAGTCTAAGGCATTCTGTCATAAAAGCCTGAGCAGACTCAGGCAGAATCTAAGCAGGATGACTACAGAGTCCATAAAAGCTACAGAATATTGCAGCATGAGTTAGGTAAGATAAGCATACTCATAGAAGGGTGGTAGTGGTCAGATACACGGTATGAAGGATGTCAAGGAAAAGCAACAAAGGACAGTAAAATAAGATGAGAAGAACATTCATGTAACATGATGGCCTTGTATATAGTATCAGAACCCTGCTGGAGTAAAAAAGGTATTCCAGGGGAGAAGGACCATAGCACAGACTATCAAAATCATCAGAGTGAGGAGGATGTGACAAAGGGAAGGGGTGACATAGGTGTAGGAGGCTAGTGGGTAAGGAGCATGTCCATACAGAAAAAAGCAGAGGAGAAACAGTAATGGGGATTATAACCAGAAGGACTGATCAAATTAAGTAAGTAAATGAAATAGTAGTCAAGTTTTTTATTACTAGAGCAGTGAGTCAAAAATATAAAAAGAAAATGAGAATAAATTCTCTTGTATTGAACTTCAAATCATGTAAATTCAAGTTTTTAAAAATATTTAGGTAAAGAAATATAAATGTATAGACACGTATGTGGTTACCTAAGAATATATGTGTGTGTGCACATACAAATGTTTCACATATGTATGTGTATAGATACACACACACACACACACACACACACATGCCTGGGTTCTGTTCCCTTGGAAGTCCTGAGGGCAACAATAAGCATATCTAGCACATAGAATTTGGCTTTGGAATTCTAAGATTATGACTTCTATATTATCCATCAAAAGATGATAAACACTGGGAAAATGTTTGATTCTAAAACTGGAACAGGCAAAGTGCAAAGTGAGTCTGAAAACTCTTCTTATTCCACATGTTAAGAAAGTATTCCAACAATGATGATGATAGGCCAAAAGCAGACAAAAGACTGCTTAGGGGTGCCTACTAAGCAAACCGGTGCAAGTGAAGCATTAATACAAGTAGTGATAATAATGAATGATAGTCTACTGAGCACAGGAATTCATGAGCCCATAAAGATGTAAGTAAATACAAGTAAAATAAAATTTAGCCAAGGTGTGGTAGTATATGGCT